ATCAGCGCCTTACAGAGCCCAGTACAGAGTTCATTGTAGTAATCTCAATGCAATGTCCCAAAAGCATGCGTCTCGGTTACTAGGTCAATGCACATCATTCCTAAGATGATAAAACCAGCTGTGGCCATGTTAACACATGACAGACTAGATCAAGGCTGGGAAGGTGTTACTGCTTTAAGATGAATAAGGGGGAAAAGGGAGGCTGATCAAAGAGCACCCCTTGTTGCGTGCTGTGTTGCATCAGGTCAGTCTGACAGGGCAAGTACAATTATAATGCACTGTTTTACTACCTCCATTAGAATAGGGAGTGAAAACATTAAAAATAATTAAGGCTTTGATTTCAAAGAATGCAGTAAAATCTGCAGAATGAACTTGCCACAAAAACCTGTGCATTGTCTGGCCACAGCAATTTCAGTTGTCCCTCTGTTGCCATGTGAAAGTGGGACTCGTGGGAACAGATGCCTCTGCGTATATATAAGCCCCTAAGCTCTGGTGTGCAAGAGGATTGTGGGGAGCATTCTTCTGCTTCTCAGTCGGGGGCTATGTTTGAGGGTTTGCTTGCTTCTCACTTGTGTATGCCCTCCCCCCCCCACCCGACTGATTTTCCTGTGGGTCAGCAGCCCCTGACCCAAAAATGGTTCTCCACCCCTGCTTCATAAAAACAATGAAGGGAGAAATGGGAACAAATTTTGCAAAATTTGGATCTGAATCTCAAGTTCCCCCAAAGTTCAAAAGTGTTTTGACAGTTTTGGTCTGGCTCATTATAGAGATGGCAGACTAGCTGCCAATTTTGAATGCATGTTTGTTTTTAGATTCAGACATCCACTGAAGCTTAGTGTTGTTCAGAACTAAAATTTGAACTGTGGGATTTGGGGCAGTCTCTAGTTTAAGAGGTCATCTACCCTAAAGTTACCCTCTGTTGATAGCATATAAACGGATGTACAAAGTTCATATTTATACCCAGCGTGTGCTAAAATCAATGTCCCACCATTCTCCCGAAAACATTTTGTTACGCAAATTGGTATTAGTCTAATAGCCCTCCCACTGACAATTTAAGCCAAATTCACTGACCTATTGATGTGATAGGTATCTTTCTGTTTTGATATTAACCTTCGCTAAATAATGATGGCAGAGAGAACTGGAACTTACTTTCTTCTTTATTTTATTCTCTCATCTCTTCCTTTTTTCTGTTCTTTTATTTATTTTCTTTACTTCTTTTTAAACAACTGCTGTATCAACTGTCTGTTTCTGTGTGTGCTTCAGAGCAGATGTAAAAATATGCCAAGAAAAATTTTCAGGAAACAAAAATAAAATTATTCCATTCAAAATTTGTAGTCAAAACTGAATAATTTTGAAATTTATTTCAATGCAGAACAAACCACCACTCCCTTTTCTTCTTGCTTTTTTTTTAAGCCACAACTCCTCCCTGCCCTTTTCCAAATAGAGTAGTAATGGAAAAATAAATATGCGAATGAAAAGGGAATAAAAACCTCACTTTTTTTTTATTAAAGGGAAATAAGAGAGAAAGTGGGGTTTTCCCACTTTAAAAAAGTGAAATAATTTGTTGAGAAATCTCTTAAAATATGAAAACAGATTTTATTTAGTGAGAAAGTATTTATTTCATGGAAGAGACATTTTTGTCAAAAAAAAAATGCTGACCAATTGTAGTTTTCCTTTCCCTCCAGTGTATCATTCTCCTTCTCTTTTCTATGTGTTGTGCTCTTCCCATTCTATTTTTAAACACCTAGGCTATGTCTACACTGGCGCGATCTTGCGCCAAAGCTATGCAAATGAGGCTAAGCATGGAATATTGCCGAGCCTCATTTGCATATCTAATGAGCCGCCATTTTGCAGAAGAGGCTCTTGCGCAAGAAGGAGCTGTCTACACTGCCCCCTTCTTGAGCAAGAACAACCCTCTTGCACAATGCCGTTATTCCTGAAAATAATCAGCATAGCGGCATTGCTCAAGAGGGTTTTTCTTGCGTAAGAAGAGGCAAAAATGGTGGCTCATTAGATATGCAAATGAGGCTCAGCAATATTTCACGCTTAGCCTCATTTGCATTACACTGGCGCGATCTTGCACCAGAGCTAACATAGCCCTAACGATTTCTCAGATACTCATGCATACTTAAATAAATAGGTACATAAACTACACACATACTATGTACCCACCGCTCATTCACTTGACCCCTGCATCTCCCAAAACTAATAAAACTCCCATCCCTGCTGGTGAGAGGAAAGAAAGAACCGCAGAGGAACAGCTGTTGAAAAGAAGAGGGCCAGAGAGATGGGAAGAAGTGATGCACGGGGGAGGTGAGCTGAGGTGAGGTAGATATTGAAGCTGGCATTTGGGTGGAGGTGTTAGCAGTGGCATTTCCAGGCAGCTTTGCATTATAAGCTTGAATGAACAGTGTTCCAGGTAGGGATGTGAACAACTAGCTGACCAGTTGCTCCCTGCCCCCTTGCTGCCTCTATCAGAAAGAGGCAGCGAGGGGTTCAAAGAGGCAGAACCATGTGGAGTCCAGAGTCAGCTAGAGACTCCCCCGCTGACCCGGGCTCTGTGCAGCACTGCCGCTTTGAAATGCCACCGGAAGCCCAGCACACTTGCACCTTGTGTTGTTGCTACACTCCAAAGGCGAAGGCACCCTTATCGACTAGTTCAATAGTCAATGCAAATTGCATCAACTATTAGATAAGTCCATTAATCTAAATTTAACATCCCTAGTTCCAGGAGCACTGTAATGGGCCTGAATACTGAGCTAGTAGATGTATATTTATGTGATACAGAACTGGTCACCTGCCTGGAGTATTTTTTAAAACATTGCTCCCCTTTCTATCTTGATTTATACGATAGATTGAATCATACAGACAATATGTAAATATTAATCAAAATGCCTCAGTAAGTATAGTTAGCTGCAAAAAGAAGTCATTAGAAACTCTCAAAAGTAATGGAAGCTTCACTAATCCATGCTAATGACTATGGCAAGCAGCACAATGTGTCCGTTTTGTGCAAAAAGGAGTCTTTGCGCAAAACAGACACATTAACACTGCTTGGTTTTGTGCAAAAACCCTTGTGCAAAAACAGCTCAGAATAGATTATGCAAATGAAGCACGACAAAATGCTAATCAGCGCTTCATTTGCATTGCCTCTTCTGGCAAAAGCCGTAGTATAGACAAAGCCTCAGAGTGTTGTTACTGGGCATTAGCTTAAATGAAAACGAGACCCAAAGTTATCCTAGTTTATGTCTCTTCCTCCAGTCCTTTACCCCCAGCCAGGAAGGAATCCATCAATATTTAAATCTTAGGGCTTATAAGGGGCACGTATTTAGCCTAGTATTCTGTTCTTTCTTGTGCAAAGGAAGAAACTATATTTTTTCCTATGTCCTAACATTGCTTAGGCCTGTTTACCTATGACTCTAAAGTGCTCCCCACCCTTGCCCTGGGAGACATACAGCACCAGAGATTTCTCTAAGAACTACTGCTGTTTAGAAGAGTGAGGTCAGGCTATCAGGAAACATTATCAAAGTACATGACTTGGATGGCCCAAACAGACAGGCAAAATATCCATTACCTGAAGGAACCAAACCTACAAAGACTTTGCAAAAAACATGTGTTTAACTATATAAATAATAATTTGAACAAGCACTTCAAACCACAATGAGTTAACAGACAGTTTGTGAGAAGGCTCTGATGTAAGGTACTGTTTGCTATGGCTAATTCAATCAGTTCTAAGGTTCAGGTTGACAAAGGATCAGTTTGTTACTTGGTGCAACTGTTAACAAATTGTGTTCCAATTTGCGGAGCTCCAAATAATTTATCTGGGCTGTATCAGTAGAGTAGATCCATGTAGCTTCCCTGAGGTCAGTTGAGCTACTTCATTATGAATATGGCCTTTGGTATTGCTTTGTAAATGCACAGAAAAAATTTACACTGAAGAATTATTTTATACATTATACAGAACCCTTTAATTTAGCCAGATTTCTGCTGCCATCTACCTGCCAATTGCTTGCCACACACATTGGTAAAAGTAAGCACTATGCTCCAGGTAGAATGTTAGCCTTAAGACTATCTGTTCTTCTTCTAGGGTTCAGATGTTACTGATAATTACAATCTATTCCTCAACTAATCTTCTCTTTATTTACCACCCAGACAGCAAGATACACAATGTCAATCATTGACTCCTAGTAACTCATTTAGGCAGCAACTTTAGTGCCTTTTCCCCTTTGCTGAAGTAGAACAGAAATATAAAGCACTTCACATCTGAAGTGACTGAGAGAATTCATAGTAGCTAGAGCAACGTGCAGAGTTCAAACATGATCATGTGCACAAATCGTGAATGCTCGCGTGCAATATCTGCCTTTAGACATGCTTGTAAATATTTGGCTAGATTTTTTTAACTGGTGTAAATCAATGCAGCCCCATTGACTTCTGATCTCTACTCCTGACTTTAGTGGAATGATATTAATTTATACCAATTGAGAATCTGACCTTTCATTCTGCAAGGGAAAGCTGAAGAAAAATTATTGCACTTAAATATATTTGTGGTCTTATAAATACTTCTCTTCATGCTTTGCATTTGCAGAGATTTTCCATTGGTTAAAAAAAATAAGTCTCACGTACATGTACATCATTGTAATATAAACACAGTAACATCCATAAGTCTACACACACCTATACACAGCACTTACACACACATTTTTGTGGTGGGTACACAAACTGTACACAGAAAAATATGCATAGATGGGTTACACACATGCATTATGAACAAGCACACACAGATGTAGCACATATACAATCACACAAGTTTCCATGCTCATGCAGACTGACACACTTCTTTCAATACAATTCCTAAATGCTATCTGAATATAACATCTAGCTGCATTTACAAAGCATTCATTTCCACAGTTCTCACTTATTTACATTTGCATCCATTCCTCTGTCCCTCCCCACATACACACTCCCCCAAACAATCATATTCATATGTAAAGTGCTGTACAGACCTTTATTGGTAACTTCCCAAGCCACTTCAAAGAGCAATAAATCCTCCACTGGCAGGTCTTCATCTTCCCACTGAGGAAGCCCATTAAGAGAGGTCACAGACAGTGATCTAACCAGAGTCATTTTGTTTAGCTCTTTCAATGCAGGCTACAACCTTTATTAAATTTATAGGTTTTTTGTTTCTCAGTTTGGTTTTGATTGGCCCAAATTGCCTGAGAGCCGGACTTGCCTGAGCAAATTTACTCCACTAGCTGGGAGCTAATGGGTTTAAACTGTCTGACTACGAGTCTTAAACTGGCTCAGTGAAATCCCATGGACATGCTAGGCAGCTGCTAGCAGAAATAGGAATTCAAAGCTGATCCAAGCAGGTCTTGGCTGTTCTGGGGAGCAGGCCTCTCAGTCAGAGGGAAATGAAGAGTAGCATCGGGTTGTTCAGTCACAGCTTTCAATATCCACCAGACTCAGGAGTAAGTGAAACTCATCAGCACTTTCCTGAGTGAACTCCCCTAGGGGAAAAATCTGTAAATATGCCACCTGAGTTGAGCCCTGCCCCTTAACGGCTCCCACCAGGGCCCACCCCTTCATGTTACAGTTCACTGATCTTTCTGTCTGTCATGCACCTGACCAACATGATATCTAAGTACTTCCATGGATTCAGTCTCAGGGCTTTCAGATTTAAAGATTTTTTTTTTCAGCGCACCTGAGAAAAATTTTTGGATATTAATTAAGTTTGACAAATCCATAAATATTTGCTCACCTCCTTTACTAGCCTCAGTTACCTCACCCAGGCTTCTCTGTGGCTCTCCTAATATCTGACCCAAAGCCCACTTAGGTTAATGAATTGGTTTTAGATCAGACCTTAAACCCAGTTCAGTAAAACACTTAAACGGTCACTTTACTCTAAAGAGATGCTTGAGTGATTTCCTGAATCAAAGCCCTAATTCATCCTCTGGAGTTTCACTCTAGTTTTCTTAACACTCTAGCTTCTCTTTTTCTGGGTCCCCTCTAGCCTGGTTTTATTGAACTTCAATAGTAAAGATCCGAAAGGAGAACTTAATAAATCCTGCATTAAATTCACAGATATATTAAATAGTATGGCTTAGTAGTTAAAAAAAGAACAGGATTCTGAGTCAAGATTCAGGATTCTCTGCCACTTACTCACTTTGTGTCTATGAATAAGTCATTCAATTTTTTCTACGTTAGCTTCCCTATCCGCAATGTAGGGAAGATAAATAATAAATCTCAAAAGTGATGACGCACACTTCAGAGTGTTTGTCTATGATGTTGGTCTATTTGTAGGTATTTAAGTACAAATTATTTTAAAATAATGTCATCAGCACTATGATAATTTAAATATTCCTAGTGTTGTTAGTAACACTTATTATTTATTTACTTACTGTAAACATGTATAAGGATGAAAACTAGTCTAAATTCTTCAAAGTCTCCTTACAAAAATGTCCATTTCCCCCCATTTCTCAGGAAAACAAGGAACAGGTCAGCAACTTTAAAACTGCAAAATGTTGATGAAAATGTTCATCAACATTTCATAGTTTGATTAAAAAGAAGGAGTAATGAAAATTTCCATTTTTTCTGTTTTGCAAAAAGTTCCAGGGATCACAGAGTTAATACAAGAATAACTCCTAGGGATGTAAAATGGTTAAAGATATAGATGTAACATAATGAAACGAATCTGAAGTTGAGAAAGGAAGGAGCATATTCTCATGGTTAGACCAGCAGACTAGGAGTCAGGATTTCTGGGTTCTGTTCACTACTCTGTAATCATTGTGATCTTGGGTAAGTCACTTGGCTTCTCTGTGCCTCAGTTTCTTCTGCTGTAAAATTGGGATAATGCCTACTACGTAAGCATGTTGTGAGCCTTAATTAGTTATTATCTGTTGAGCCCTTTGAGATCTTCAGGTGAAAGGTATGATAAATGCAAAATATTAAATATTATTATTCCATCTCAAGGAATAATGGCAAGCAAACTCAATGTGATTCTGGGCTGGGTACAAACTGCAGTATAAACTTTTCAAGTGACAGTCCCTGTGTATGTGACAGGGAGGCACTACATAGCACTATTCCAGATCCTTTCATATTAGAAAGAAATTGTTTGCAAGGATGGTGGATAAAGCTTCCCCTGGGGAAGGCTAGGTCCTTGTCCTGCCTCTTCTGCCCTTGGCCCAACCCCCAATTCACCCCAGACTCTGCCCCTCCCCTTCCTCCTTTTCATCCCTGACTCAGATCTGTCCGCCACTCACCTCCTCGTTCCTGGCTCATGCCCATCCACCACTCACCTCCTCATTCCCCTGCCAAACCTCCAATGCCTTGTGTGAGACACACACCCTAAGCTGCCTGTTATTGGCTTGCCGCTCACCTGTTCCTCAACCCCTGTGCCCACCCATGGCTTGCCTCCTCGCTCCCACACCAAACCCTCTGCTGGCTCACTGCACCCCTCCTCGCTCTGCTTCATCCTGGGGAACAAGGATACACCCCACAAAATGTTCTGCCTGAATTGGTGATACAAATATTATTTCCCAAGTAAAATATCATTCCCCATCACATCTCTCCACCCAACATCCATCCCTGAAGACTCGCTAGCAGAAAATCCCCTTCCCCATACCTCTGATTTAATCCCTCCCAGAGCACTTCCCTGTTCTTCATCCTCCTTCAGGCTCTCAGGAAGGCTCCTCTAAATGACATCACTCCCTGGCAGCTGCAGTGCTTGCAGCTGAACATCCTCCAGGGGCAGAGGTTGTCCTGTGATCTCTGACTGAAAGTCAGTTGGTCATGGGGAAGTGGGTCCCCCTGGTGGTGCACTGAGTAGTCAGTTGGGGAATGGGTTCATCTTGGTTTTAAACATGGGTGGGTTTCCTCTGGTTGGCATGTGGGACTGGGTAGAGCAGCAGCTATCCCACTGGCTGGTGTGTGCACAGAAGTTGCCTGAACACTTAGGGTATGTCTACACTACAGAGTTTTTTTCAGAAAAACTTAAATTACATCCACACTGCAATTGCATTCTTCCGAAAGAAAATCAACAGAACAGATGGGTTTTTCCGGCACTGGTAATCCTCATTCCATGAGGAAGAAGCCTTTTTCCGAAAGAGCTCTTTTGGAAAAAGGCATGGGTGGATGGGGAAGAGAGAGTCCTTTCTAAAGAAGAGGAAAGAGGAAAAAGCACAGGTGCCCTGGTGGCCACTCCATCCATAGTAATCACAACTTACATGTGAGATAGCGTCCATTCAGTGGACAGCTTTTGCTGTGTGGATGCTCTCTTTCGGAAGAAGTTTTTCCAGAAGATCTCTTTTGAAAAAGCTTCTTCCGAAAGAAGCCTACAGTCTAAACTTTGCCTCAGAGTGGGGGAATGGTTCTCTCTAGACCTAGGGGATGGGTGTGAATGAGAATAGGTCTCCCCCTGCTTGGAGGAGAGCCACTTTCCCCTGCATGGTGGTGGCACTGGTGGTGAGGAAATATGCCTCTGGGCTCCATCCTAACAGCAGCTCTTCATACTGTGGTGTGAAGTTGGTAGGCAGGCACTGTTAGGAAGAGATATGGACTGCAACAGCTGCCATACTTACACCCAGTGCAGCGGCAACTTGCTCCTTTCTCCTTTGGCCCTGCTGGAGCGGTGAGGAGTAGGGATATGGTACTATTTAGTGCGCCCCCATGGGCTCCAAGAAACTCTGTTGGGGAACAAGAGGAGGGAGTACCCCTTGTAGTAGAGGCTGCAGCAAGGAGAGATGTGCCCATATAATGCCACCAGCCTGAGTGAGCGCCAGCCATCCAGTCTTAGTGAGGGGCTGAAAATCTTTACAGCAAAGGCCAACCTAAGAATTTTAGGGTGGGGCTAGAAAAGAATGTTTGTCAGGTATTCTAACCCAGCTGTACTGGGCTAGACTAATGATAATGGGGAAGATCAGCAAGATAATTCTTGGAAGGAACACTCAGACTTAACTGCTATATAAAAATGCTGTGTGTACGTGCATGTGTGTAAATATACCCCCACTCTCTCACCTTTTGGGTGTAGTGTACTGTCCCATGTAGTGGCACCAAGATCACTTACAGAGAGAATAATGAGTCTGCTCTACAGTCTTTGCTAATAAGCAGTTTGTTTTTAGGTCAGGAGGTAGATGCTCATGCACTAAGCTCCAGAAGTCCCCGGTTCAATTCCACCCCAGATTTTTACATAAAATCAGCTCATTAGCTGCTGTAGAAACAAAGCTTTGCTCCTTTCCATGGTAGCTATTAGCTTATATGAGGCTAACTCTGTAAGGAACAGAACTAGAGTCTTACGTTAAAAAATAAAATGATCATTATGGAGCTTAAAGACACAGTTAACGGGCTCTTCTGTCAGCTCTTCAGGAAATACAGGAAATGTCCTGATAGTTCATGAGTATAAAACTAGTAGTAAAGGGATGAAACTGAGCAAAAGGAAATTTAGGCTGAAAATGTATATCCACTGAAATGTGTTAATCTCTCAAAAGGAAAAAGAGAGATGCTTTTGCCAGAGGCATTTAAAACTAGAATGGACAAGGCACTGGAAAATACTAGACATGGGACTGGGATCCAAAGTGTGGATCCAGATCTCAATATCAAATTACCGAAAGTTTGCGGGAGTCCACATCTTCATTCACCACTGCAATTATCCAGTCTGTACGATCAACAGAGTAATATCAGTGCAAAATGGAGTAATGCAGTAGTGAATCAGGCCCAGTCATGAACCGGTTTATTGTAGAGATGGGGGAAGAGGCAAACATTTGAATCTTAATCTGATTTTAGATTGTGACCTGTCCCTGTCCCAAAGTTCAGGGCTGTTCAGATCTGAGGGTTAACTCAGGCTCATCTCTAGAATTAGTAGGGTAGAAAATAATCCTGCACTGACAAGGAAATGGACAGCATGATAACCTTGTGGGCCTGGCTGATCTCACTTAAACTGGTATAAATCCACAGCAATTCCCTTGAAGACAAGAGGATTACCCAAATGTAGCCTGAGCATAAGTATAATATATTATTTTCCACCTCCGCTTTATAAGCAGATTCCTTGAGGCACATGCACACTTACATGGGCAGCATTTTGCATTTTTAAAATTCAGGGAATAGTTCTATGGAATAAAGGTTGGACCTCAGGATTCAGTGTCAAAATTATGTGCTCTGTGAGCAGCTCCACACTCAAGCACAACCCCATGATGGAAGGGAGAGGAAGCAGCTTATACGTTATACCCCGCTGTTCAGGTGCTGCCAGAGGCTAGTTCAATCCCCATTCCAGGTGGAGAAGCCCTAATTTGTGTCTCTTGTGCAATGGTTCTTAAAGGGCATTACTGGGTGCAAAGTCACCAGGGTTCCTGTCAACGTCTCCCCTTCTATTCCCTTCTCTTACCTACCGCTGACATAATTATGGTCCACCTAAGAAATCCCCCATTTCCATCATCTGTTGTGGAGGCAGCACACAATTGACAGATATGTGTGGCACATGTACCAGTGCTATTCATCTGAGGGGAGGGGAACTTGATAGTCCCTTTGTATCACTGCA